GGGACGCGAACCGCGGTCGACTACGTGGGAGTCCAGCGACATAGCCATTACGCTAACTGCTGGTTCCCTTCTGTTAGTTTTTTCAAGAATTTATACTTCAGAGAACTCAGCATAGCAACTAAACTAACATTAGACTCCTGGTAGGCCTTCAAAACACTCACATGCACCTACTAATCGTACTCTGAGAAAAGGAAAGAGCAGGAGCAGCTCTAGGAAGGAACGGCAGCATTGGGGCACATAGGAGTCTACACCCCCACCCCCACACTTGGAGTGTGTCTCCCAGGCTGCCTTGCAGATGTGCTGGCCAACGCAACAGAGAAGATGATTACCAGTCTCTCCATCTCTTGCTCCCTGAGTCTTTCCTCCCTCTGCCGCCGGTGATAATCCATCAGGTCATCACGTCCTGAAATGGAGCTAATACTGCTTTTTCGTTCCCGAAGCATAGGCTGGGGAGTTCCTGAGGCCTGTCTGAGACTGTCGAGATCAGCATCGTCAAATTCCACAGACCCACAAGAGAAGTTCCTCTTGGCTGCAAACACTCTGTCCGGCTCTCCGGAAGGAAGTGAGTGACCTGGGCTGGTCCCCGTATATGAAGCCCTATCAAAATCATCAGAGGCACAGGAGGAGGTGGAGGCCAGAAGCATCTTCCGAGCCACTCGAGGACTTGCAGGGACACTGAGGGTGGAGCTCACATAGGGATTGCCCTCAGACACAGAGGTTTTGTAGGGTAAAGCCCCTGAGCTTAAAGAAGAAAAATTAAGGTAATTGTCATTGTCTATTACGCTATGAGGTAGATCCTTTTCGCCCAGCTTCGCGTGTTTGGAATTGCCCAGAGAGTTTCTTGGAGGCAGACTGAGAGGTGTCAGCTGGTTCTCTGTGGCTCTGTACAACCTGGGAAGCGATCGGCTATAGGCTCCCATGTGACTCAGGCTGCTGCCCGAATATTTCCTAGTTCTTAAACTGGTGTTTTCGGGTGCTAGTTCCTTGTGTCTGGTTAACTTGGGCTGAAGAGTCAGGTGATCCTGAATGTTCATTTTTCTGGCTTGCTTTGGGCTAGAAGGCATGCTTGCCGCCCCTGATTTGCTGGTGGGTGAGGGGCCACTGTCACTCAGTGAACCTCCATTCCACATGGCCAGGAGTGAGCCAGATGCCTTTCGACCTTCCAGCCCTCCAAGAAAGTAGACATTGTCATGTGATTTATTCCTTGAGCTATATTTGGAATAGGGAGGCTTCTCTGAGAGTCTCAAGGACCTTTCACTATCCCGGCCAGTATAAGGATCCAAGTCTGCTCTCCCAAGTGGATATCCACTCAGGGAGGTGGTAGTGCTGAGTAAGGGAGTGGGATGTTTCAGGGACATACTTTTGTCAGTTCCATCACAAGAGAACTGCTTACTTCCCTGGATTTTGGCCAGAGAGGGGTTACTTCTGACATTAGTTCCCAAAGGAGAAGGGCTCCTTTTTGCAGGCACAGGTTGCGAGAGGGTTAAATATGACCCAGAATAGTCTCCGTTGGCTTTAAATCTCAGGCTGGAAGAGTATTTCTTTGGGCTTAGGCTCTCCATCACGTCCTGGGTGCCGTTCTCGAGGTCATGCATCACAGGGCCTCCCTCTAAGCTCCCATTCTGTAGCTCCAGCTGCTCATGCATGTGGCTATGATCTGCCATAATCTGGCTGGAATCTTTAAGGGGAAAAAAAGAGAGAGAGTTTACTTAGACAAAAAAGATTTAAAAATAGTATCCTATTGTCAGCTTACACCTGAGCAAACATTTTTATAATCTGAATTAATGCAACTGACAAACATTAACTGTTTTAACACTGATCACTGGTAAAACTGTACTGCAAACTAAAGAAGAATAAAGACTATTGGTCTGAGTTTTGTTTTGTTTTGTCTTTGTACAAAAGAGAAATGCTTTAAGAGAACAGCAATGATATTTGAAGGAAACAAATCCTTAATCAAGCAAAGTTGCAGGCTTAGGCTGGTACGTAAAAAGATAAGTCTCCTAGTGTTCTAGTCCTTGGGAGACCTCCTGTTTCCTGACGACTTAGCACATGCATAAAGGGAAAATGCAATGGTTTTCCTTCAGATGTCTCTGCTAGAATCCTGAACTTCTCAGAAATAAAGTCCTGACAAAACAAAATTCACATGTTGGCAGAAAAAGAAAATTTCATGTTAGACGCTGATAGGTAACATGAGGGTTAGTAGATGATTCTTTAAGAGGGGTTATGGGAGTTTCTATCTCAACAAGAAGACTTAAAGCTTGTGTACTTACTGGAAAGAGGCAGAAAATAAAAGACAAAGAGTGCTCCCAAATTACTGTCACACGGTCAAGGTGGAGTACTTAAAAACCTGGAAATGTAATCTCATTCAAATTCCCTAAGTACCTCAAATGTACCTTGCTCATCCCTGGTAACAAACCCTCTCCTCTAGCGACATACTTTTCTCCCTTTTGTGTAACTCTCAGAAAGGTATAGATGAGGATTCTATCTTTATTTAAAATTCCATTTATTATGATTATTATTTTCTAATTTGCTATATGGCACATTCACTCACCAGAGAGAGAGAGAGAGAGATGAGAGAGAAAGAAAGCGAGAAAGTAAGCTTCCAGGCCCAGGACTTGAATCATAGTTGGCCACGTAGGAGTCCAGTACCTTAACCCCTACACCACCTGCTGGCCCCAGGATTCTATCAGGCATGATTAAATTTAAAAAAATAAAATGTATGCACACATAGGAATATGTTGTGGACTTCAATTTGAACAATATCAATTTAAGAAACTAAAATTTTGGTCTATGAAAATGTCTTTGAATTACAAACTATCGCTGCAAATGAAAAGGACTAGATTTCTAGATTTCAGATGATCGGCAAAGGGGAAACACGATTTGAATATTTCCACTGAACTTATGAAAGTGAGTATGACCTGCTAGGACTGTCCTCAAACCCTCAGCCACTACTACATTCTCATCTCTATACACAAAGGACTGTATATGGTTACTCGTCAGTTTCCTAATATGGCTGTCTCTGTAAGTAAACCACAATTCTGAGTATTTCTACTTTATCTCTACCTCTTTGACTCCCATTGTCTCTTAGGTGAAAAACTCAAGGAGCACAAGTTTTCACTGTTAATCAACAGCCTTCCTCACCCCCTCCCCACCACAGACTGAGAACATTCACCCTGCTCGTTCAGCCTCACAGACTTTCTGGGCAAATTCAGGCAGCGTAGTAAGGCCCTGCTTCTTACGCACAGGCTGAGGATAAGAAATAGCTGGCTGCTGAAATTCTGGTGATGGGCTGAGGACCCAATCCCACAAAGCTCCCCTAACGAACTCTGCCTGCTAAAGCCCTGCTGGATGAAGATAATCACAATTTAAAGATACCTTAAAAAAATTGAAGTTCTCCATTACATTCGTCCCCAGTTGGCATCTGGGCCTGGCATCTGGCTCTTGCCAGGTCTTGCCTTCCCCGCCCCTGAGACAAATGCCCATCTCAGCACTTGACTATTACTAACAATTCTGATCTTAAAAGCTACACCAACCTGGTCTGTGACATATCTCACCATGCCCCCTTGGGGGACTGAAACCATGACAATCCCTAGTCTTGGACCCTTCTATTCTGAGTTTACTTTGTCTCTGGTTGGTTTGCCATATTGAAATTCCTGAAAGTCTTGATCAGTTTTCTCAACTTTATATATATATATATATATATATATATATATATATTTAAAAAAGATTATGTACAGTCACCAGAGAGAGAGAGAGAAAGTGAAAAAGCAAGCTGCCAAGTCCAGGACCCAAACTGTGGTTGGCCACGTGGGAATCCAACACCTTATCACCATGCCACGTGCTGGTCCCCAGTTATTTCAAGTTTAATATTGGATTGTGGAGAAAGTCATGGCATGTTTTTGCATAGAAAAATATGCCATAACTTTCCTGACAACCTAATATTAGAATTGAGGAAATAAGGAAAAGAATGGATCCTGAGGATATTGTAGTATTATTCATTACAGTGAAAAAAACACCCTAAACGTCTAATAGGGAAAAAGTTCAGTAAGCTACAGTACATTATATGAGTGACTACTACACTACCATTTAGGATCATATTTTGAATTATATTTTATAGCATAAAGGTATACCCACAGGGACCAGCAGATTGTTATGTCACTGGACTCGCATGTAGTCGACCACAATTTGAGTCCTGGACCTGGTGGCTTAAAACTCACACTGGGTGCATGTGTGTGTGTGCCCGAAATCCCAAGAGAAGAATGGAGAAGGGATTGTGGCATGGCCATCCTAGTAAAAATCTCTCTTAAAAAAAAAGTACATACATGTAATGTTACATAAACATATATGCAATGGGCCCAGTTTGCACATACCACCCATACACATAGGTGCTCAGATCAAACTTCTGGCAGTTGTACTTATCTTCTCTATCACTAGCATCACCTTCCTCATTTTATCTACCAACAAATCCCCTCAACACTGTCCTTAAAAATTCTGAATCTAGGCCTTGATGTGGTGGGACAAGTTGTAGGAAGCCACTGTGCAAGGCTCAGGCTGCATGGGAGGCTCCATTTAGGCTGGTTCTCAGACCAACCTAAATATGATGAGTACCTGTGATCCTAGCTAACCAAGAGAATGGGGAGGAGAATTGGGACATGGTGAGACACTGTCAAAAAATACCGAGCTGGGAGCCAGCAGTTGGCGTAATGGCTATGTCGCTGGACTCCCATGTAGTCAACCGCGGTTCGTGTCCCGGACCCGGTGGCTTAAAACTCACGCCGGGCGCGTGTGCGTGCGTGCCCAAGATCCCGAGAGGAGAATTGAGGAGAAGGGATTGCGGCGTGACCATCCCCCCTGGGGGGTGATTTCTCGCTTTCTGTCTCTATGTCTCTCTCTGTCTGTCTGGCGAGCGCACGCGCCCTACAGTGAAAATCTCTCAAAAAAGAAAAAAATACCGAGCTGTCTCACTCTCTTATAAAAACAAAGACAAGATGTTCTTTTTTTTTAGAGAGAATTTTGCTAAAGAGCACATGTGCTTATCAGAGAGACAGAAAGAGACAGACAGCAAGAGATCTCCCCCAGTGGGGATGGCCACGCTGAAATCGCTTCTCCAGTGTTCTACTCCTGGGATCTTGGAAACGCACCCACATGCACCTGACATGAGTTTTAAGCCACTGAGTTTGGGACTCGAACTGCAATTGGCCATGTGGGAGTCCAGCAACATAACCACTACTCCATCTGCTGGCGCCAACAAGATGCACTTAACAGATCATTTCTTACCATTTCCATGCTGCCTCTCTAGTATATAAATCAGTGTCTTTTCTTTCCTCTTTTATATGCCTGGTCTCTAGTCCAACAATAGACAAACTTGGAGGAATCAGACTAAAAAATTAATAGTGATTTTAATGGAATAAAAGTACGCCCAGTGATTTCTTTCATACTAGTTTATATTTTCCACATTTTATATATTGATTAATTTATTATACATTTTATATAGTGTATTTAGGTGGTTTCAACGACCAGAATGAAAACTTACTGAGCGTTGGGACCAGCAGTTAGCGTAATGGCTATGTTGCTGGACTCCCATGTAGCCAACTAAGGTTCGAGTCCCAGACCCAGTGGCTTAAACTCACGCCAGGTGCATGTGCGTGCATGCCCAAGATCCCGAGAGGAAAATGGAGGAGAAGGGATTGTGGCATGGCCATCCCCCCTGAGGGGTGATTTATTGCTTTCTGTCTCTCTGTCTCTCTCTGTCTTTCTGGCAAGCGCATGCACCTTGTAGCAAAAACCTCTCCAAAACAAAACAAAACTTTCTGAGCATAAGCTACTACAATATAATCTATAGTAACATTTCATTTTTAAGCTGAATAGACTCTCATTTTTCCTTAGCTTTGGCCCATTTGTTGAGCCAGATATTAATCCTTCCCCCAAAAAAGGTTAAAGCTTCACTCTGAATAACTTAAAATGTAAAATATCTGAAAACCGTAAGATTTTTTCCACTCTTCTAAATGACTCTGGCAAAAATGTTTATTATGCAAATTTATCTATTCTTTATTTTATATATCTGAAAGACTAAAAATTCAAATAAAACACTTCCCCATAAAACAAAATCATTAACTGGACCAGAATATGACGTAATGGCTACGTTGCTGGACTCTCATGTAGTTGACCCTGGTTTGAGTCCCAGATCCAGTGGCTTAAACTCACGCCAGGCACATGTGTATGCGTGCCCAAGATCCCGAGAGAAGAATGAAGGAGAAGGGATTGCGGCATGGCCATGCCCCCGGGAGGTGATTTCTCGCTTTCTGTCTGTCTGTCTCTGTCTTTCTGGAGAGCGCACGCACCCTATATATATAAACTAATAAATATGATACTTTAAAAAAAAATCATTACCAAAAGTCTCCAGATGCTTGCTGCACATTGCCCAGAAAGTAATAATATCTTGATTTAATAAAATATGTCACTAGTAGGCTATTTCCTTATTATTCATTAAACAGGTATTAAGTGTCTACCACATATCATGAAGTGATTCTGCATATTGTATGAAAACAAAAGTAAAAATTTCCGTGGGTCATTTTAGTTACTTGAATGTACTTAGCAGGTACACAGCACTGCTCACTACTATTCCTTTCAGCACAGTGGGGATGCTCTTCTTCATCTCTATGGTGTTAGGGGAGGCTG